CGGCGCTCCCTCAGCACTGACCCTCCGACAGTGCGGCGCTCCCTCAGCACTGACCCTCCGACAGTGCGGCGCTCCCTCAGCACTGACCCTCCGACAGTGTTGCATTCTGTACCAGTCTGGGTTGAAGGTCAGAGTGTAACTGTGTAGGGAAATGCAGAGGTTTCCTCACCTTCAGGTGGTACATCATCATTTCATTCGCCAAGTGACTCCTGTACTGGGCTTCGTGAACCTTTTTGTACAACAACGACTGGAAGGAGAGACAGAAATATTTGGAAGATCAGTGTCACGCTTGGTAATGACCATGATATATAGACAGTTCATCACCTCAGATAGTGCGCCCCCTTCATCACTAATCTCCCAACAGTTATGTGGTTGTAACAATCCTCCATCATTTCAAAACCCAGCCCTCCCTGTGGCTGTCTTCAAATATACAGTCATAGCATCTTAATTCTGCTCCTGCATCTTATGGTCTTACGGTCTTATGCAAGTTCCCCTCCGAGCCACTCACCATCCTGTCTTGGAAATATATCGCCATTTCTTCACTGTCACTGGGTTAAAATCCTGGTATTGCCTCCCTAAGGACATTATGGGTCAACCCACAGCACATGGACTGCAGTGGTTCAAGAAGGCAGCTCACCCCCACCTTCTCAAGGGGCAACTAGGGACGGGCAATAAATACTGGGTCCACATTCCATCAGCAAATAAAGGAAAATTGCCCTCCCAATCACTTGCTGTACCTGCATTATAATCTTTTATGATTCATGTACCGGGACACCCACATCCCTCTCTAGCTCAGAGTCCACTTAAATAATAGAGACAACAAGGTGCAGAAGGGTCTAGGCCCAAAACATCAGCCTCTCTGCTCCTATGATGCTACTTGGCCTGCTGTGTTCATCCAGCTCTGCACGTTGTTGTCTCGGATTCTCCAGCATCTGCAGTTCCTGCTATCTCCACTTAAATAATATGCTGCTTTTCTACTCTTCCTGCTAAAGTGGATGAGTTCACCTTTTCCCATGTTATACTCCATCTGCCATGTTATTATCCATATTGCTTCACCTATCCACATCACTTTGCAGACTCCCTATGTCCTCTTTAGTACTGGGGAACTTAGCTGCCATTCATTTGGTCCCCTCATCCAAATCATTGACATATACTGTAAAAGGTTGACCCCCAACACTGATCTCCATGGCACACCCCTTGTTCCATTTTGCCAACCTGTAAATGATTCATTTATGCTAACTTTCTGTCACCAACCAATCCCGTACTCTAGTTAACTTGCTAACCCGAATGTTATTTTGTGGAAGGCCATTTGACTTGGCAATGTGTCCAATGCCCCAGAAATCCGAGTATACCATACCTACGCATCCCTTTTATCCATCTTGTTTGTTATTTCTTCAAGGAACTTTGACAGATTAATCACACAAGATTTCCCTTTCACAGAACCACCAAGAATCTGCCTGATAGTACTGAGTGCTGAGGTCCCTATACACTCCTGGCCAGTATAGACTGAGTGCTTGAGAGCCTCACTGAGGACGTGCTGGAGCAGGATAGTCTGCAATTATAGAAGATGCTGGGGAAATCCTGGGAGAGAACAGACAGTGAAGGCAGCAATGGTCACAGCCCCTGCACTACCGGGGAGCGGTGGGATTCTGAATCTACCTTTTTACTGCTTATGGTGCCCTGAAATTATCCCAAACAGAGGCAGCCCCTTTATCATTTTTGTTTGGATACTCACCAGAACAAGTTTGGCAACATGAAGTAAGGGCAGTGTATTCTGTACCAGCATCAACTCACCTAGCCTGCATTCAACTTGCCCCCTCTCAAAATCCAACTCTGCCAGTCTAACATTTGACAAGTACAGTCCAATTGATATTCCACTCCTCGAGTCAGGAATCCCACTGCTGAGTCTGACATCCCACTCCCCAGTCCGAGATCCCACTCCCCAGTCCGAGATCCCACTCCCCAGTCCGACATCCCACTCCCCAGTCCGACATCCCACTCCCCAGTCCGACATCCCACTCCCCAGTCCGACCTCCCATTCCTGAGTCCTACATCCCACTCCCCAGTCCTACATCCCACTCCCCAGTCCAACATCCCATTCCTGAGTCCAACATCCCACTTCCCAGTCTGACATTCCACTCCCCAGTCCGACATCCCACTCCCCAGTCCGACCTCCCATTCCTGAGTCCGACATCCCACTCCCCAGTCTGACATTCCACTCCCCAGTCCGACATCCCACTTCCGAGTCCTACATCCACTCCCGAGTCCGACATCCCACTCCCCAGTCCTACATCCCACTCCCGAGTCCTACATCCCACTCCCGAGTCCGACATCCCACTCCTAAAAGGTTGAAAAGGCTGGGCCTATAATCCATTGGAGTTTAGAAGAATGTGAGAAGATGGAATTGAGGCATCCAAGATCCTGAGGGGACTTGACCATGTCAATGCCTAGACGATGTCTCCCCTTGTGGGAATGACTCGAACCAGGGGGAACACAGTTTAAGCATAACGGGTCTCCTGTTTTATTTCAGGGACCAGGAGGGACTTTGTTTCTCACGGTGGCTACCTGAGCCTTTGGAGCTCTCTTTCTCCAGGATGGATGGAGGTAAGGTCATTGAGTGTTTTAAGGCAAAGGAAGATGAACTGAGAAGAGAAACAAAGCTAATGGGGAAAGGGTGGGGAAGTGAAGTTGAGGCCACATCAGATCAACCATGATTGTACTGAAAGGCATAGCATGCCAACCCAGAAAGCAGTGCAGTGAACCCTTTCTGAACTCCTTCCAATGCATTTATATCAATGTTTAGCAACAGAGTCTGATGTGAACAGAGATCGTGAATGTGGATGAATGACCTAATCCAGCTCTAAACTCATCTGTCTGGAAAGACCTGGCATGTTTGGAAGTGTTGGATGTCACCGTTGGAGACGGCTCCGTCCCCAGTACTCACATGGGCAATGCTGATCCCGCAGTAAATGGAGAAGGCCAGAGCTAAATCTTCATCAAACTTTGTAAACCAGGGTCCGTTTATCTTGTTACACAGCTCTGCCACTCCTACAATCTCTGTGCAAAGGAGAACAACAGGAGTCAGAACACAAACAAAACTTGATGTTGGGAAGATGCCATTCTGACCCTTAATTGTTCAGGCCACTCCATGGCATGTTTACTTTAGTATCCAACCACTCGGGGCTGGTATAACTCAGGAAATGAGGCTACGAACTTACACACAGCAAACTCCCACTAAGGTGAAGGGTAAGGTCACTGAATTGCGGGAGATTCTTAGGCTGCTGTCTCATTAGAGAGAGACACAGAGAGAGATGACTGGTGGCAGTTTAACGTAAGGGGAGATGTTCAGACAGTGACAGTAACGTCAGTCAGTACAAGAACTGAGCCCACACTGTTGGTGTCACTCTGCATTGCAAGCCAGCCAACTGAGCTAAGTGTTCCCCTCCTACACCAGCACAGTGATAATAACCAGATAATCTGTTCAGGTGATGTTGATCTAGGGATGCTGGGGAGAACACCCTCTACCTTTCACGTCAGCCAAGCAGATACCTTGGGCCAAATGGCCTGCTCTGCACTATAATCATTTGTAAATTCATTGAAATCATGTCGTGTGAATTTTACACTCAAGAGGACGGGGGGGATGTCCCATTTACAGTTTCTGTGAGCAAATTGGGTTCTTACGACATTCCACAAATGATGGATATTCATCATATTTACTTCTGTTTGGGAACTTGGGTTCTAAAGTGGAGAAATGATACATACCTTTGATTCATGTTTTATATTTTATGTGTTAGGAAGGCAGGAGGATGAGGATTTTAGTTTCAGTTTAAAATTGTTCTGTGAGTGGTAAGAGAGATTATTTTTAAAACATACATTTCAATGAGGTCCTTAAAACCCTTGAGGTAAATAGTTCGATTCATTAGAAAAAAAAATCCGATGTTGCCGAGCAACAGGAGTCCAGTATCACAGAATATCAGAACAATCTAGGAGTCAGAGACTTCATCAGAGAGAAAATGTCAAATTGTTGTTAGTTTAGCAGTCTCCAAAGCAGTCAGGGCTAGGGGAACAAACTCATGGGTATAGTATAACAAGGTGTAGAGCTGGATGAACACAGCAGGCCAGGCAGCATCAGAGGAGCAGAAAAGCTGACGTTTCGGGTCTGGACCCTTCTTCTTTCTGGAATCTATTTCTGAAGAAGGGCCCCGACCCGAAACGTCAGCTTGCTTGCTCCTCTGATGTTGCTTGGCCTGCTGCGTTCATCCAGCTCTACACCTTGTTATCTCAGACTCCAGCATCGGCAGTTCCTGCTATCTCTCAAACTCATAGGTATGTTTGGAAGAAAATTCCAAAGCAGGGTGTGAGGCATTTGCTAAAGACAATCCCATTGAGTGAATGCAGACATTTTCTGAAATGAAACTGATTCCACTCACAGTATCTGAAAAGGAGCTTTAAAGTGAAGTCAGGGTGGTCCTTCACTGAGGTTTGAATATCTGTAAGGTTGTTGATATTTGGAATAAGATTTTTTCAAATACTTTCTTTAACATAGTATTTTGTTTTTCTTTTATATGGTAAACCTTCCATGTACTTTTGTTAAACATACGTTGACAGCCTCTTTGGAATATGTTCAATGATTGGCTATCACAATAAACTAAAAAGAAAAAATGAAAAATTATGGTCTGTCAAGGCAGGTCCCACTCTGGGATCTGACTTGTTCAAGATTACCATCAGGTAGGATCAGAACGCATGTTAACAAATTTCAAATGATCAGCTTTATTGAGTTATATGTTGGACTGTGTGGGTTGGTGGTGGCCATTCAACCCCTCAACTGGTTCACTATTCGCTTAGTTCATGGCTGAAAGGTAACCAAATCTCAGTCAGTGCGACTCAATATTCTTATAAAATTACTGCCATGGTCTTCAGAGAATAAATAAAGTCATATTCACTTGAAACAAGGCCTGAAGATTTCTGGAAAAGCATGTCAGCAAAGCTTTACCCCTTGCTGTCATCTGGATACTTGCAAGAATCCCAAATTTCAAACAAGGACAACAATATATGAAGGGTTGTTTTTTCTGACCAGAGGCCTGTGACCAGCGGTGTTCCATAGGGATTGATGCTGGGTCCACTGTTTTCTGTCATTTATATAAACGATATGCATGAGAATTCAGGAGGCAAGGTTAGTAAGTTTGCAGATAACACCAAAACTGGTGATATAGTGCGCAGTGAGTAATCTAAGATTACAAAAGGATGATCTTGATCGATTGGGTCAATGGGCTGAGGAGTGACAGATGGAGCTTAGTTTGGGTAAATACAAGGTATTGCATTTTGGTAAAACAAACAATGGCAGGACTTACACAGTTAATGGTAGGGCCCTGGGTAGCACTGTCGAATAGAGAGACCGAGGGGTTCAGGTACATAGTTCTTTGAAAGTTGCACTACAGTTAGACAGGATGGTTAAGAAGGCATTTAGCATGCTTGCCTTCATTGCTCAGACCTTTGAGTATAGGAATTGGGACATCATGTTGTTGTTGCACAGGAAGTTGGTGAGGCTGTTTTTGGAGTACTGTGTGCAGTTCTGGTCACCTTGCTATAAGAAGGCTATTATTAAACTGGGGAGGGTTCAGAAGAGATTTATAAGAATGTTGCCAGGACTGGAGGGTTTGAGTTATAAGGACAGGCTGGATAGGTTGAGACCTTTTTTCACTGGAGCGTAGGAGGTTGAGAGGTTTATAAAATCATAAGGGGTATAGAAAAGGTGAATATCAAAGATCTTTTCTGTATGGTAGGACAGTTCAAAACTAGAGACCATATTTTCAAAATAAGAAGACTTAAAAGGGACCTGAGGGGTAATTTTTTTTCACACAGATGGTGGTTCGTGTGTGCAATGAACTGCCAGAGGTACATGCAGTTCCAGTTACAACATTTAAAAGGCATCTGGACAGTTACATGAATAGGAAAGGTTTGGAGGGATATGGGCCAAATGCCAGAAAGTGGGACTAGTTGAATTTGGGAAATTTGATCGGCATGGATGAGTTGGGCCGAAGAGTCTGTTTCCATGCTGTATAACGCGGCAGCAGGAAAAAGGGCTGATTGGTTGGCAAGGCAACTCTGATTGGTCGAGGTGTTGCCATGAGGAAAGTAATTAGAAACTGCAGGCTTAGTAAGCTCTCAGGCAATGTACAGAAGGGGCAAGGTTCGAACACCCTCAGGTGACTGTCTGTGTGGAGTTTGCGCAATCTCCCCGTGTCTGTGTGGGTTTCCTCCGGGTGCTCCAGTTTCCTCCCACAGTCCAAAGATGTGCAGGCTGGGATGGATTGGCCGTGCTAAATTGCCCCATAGTGTTCAGGGGTGTGTAGATTAGGTGGGTTATAGGGGAATTGGTCTAGGTGGGATGCTCTGAGGGTCGGTATGGACTTTTTGGGCCGAATGGCCTGTTTCCACACTGTAGGGATTCTACGATCTATGATCTATGAACTCTGAATGTGCTAATCGCTTCATGAACGACTAGTTTCACATTACCATCTGAGTTTGTAATGTGGCTCATTTGCGCTTGCAAAAAGCAACATACATTCAGATACAGGGACACATTCTGTGCAATTGAAGTTCAAGGCTGGCATCTTCCTTGAATTATGCAGGAGCTTGGGAAATGATGTTCACCCAGCAAAAATCAGCAATGGCTGGGGAGCAGCATCTGCAGGAGAGAAACAGTTAACATTTCGAGTTCACAGACCCTTCTTCAGAAGCAGCTGAGAGAAGGTGGTATTCTTGCTGATAACGGGGTGGGGGAGGGGAGGTGGAGAAAGGAGTGAACGGATCAGTAGAGATGGAGCAGAGAGAGAGAGAGAGAGAGAGAGAGAGAAAGATAGGCAGACAGGGGGATTGCTGATAGTAAACCCAAAGAGGAAGAGAAACTAGAGAGGTGACAATGGGGAGTAGGAGTGAGCGAAAATAGGGTTGGCTGTCCTAAAACCAACTATTTCCTGACAGAATCCAGGGTGTGGGGCTTAGTTGTAGACAGGCAAGGTGTTTTCCCTTTTGTTTCATTTTACTCTTTTGCCCTTCCTATGTCAGGGACTGCTCTGTGCCTCTATCCTGGGACGCTTTCTCTCTGCACTGGGAGTGGGCGGGGAAGGCTGAGCAATGCTGGGATCTTGATGTGTACTCACGGTTGTTGTCATCGATGATGGGGAAGCACAGGATGTTCCGTGTGCGGAAGCCGGTGCTGGCATCCATGCCCCGGTAAAAGAGGGGGTGAGAGTAGGCATCCTTGATGTTGAGGATTTTGCCCGTAGTGGCCACATGCCCAGCGATGCCCTGGTCAGCTGGCATCCTGAATTCAGCGGACTGGAACGAGACAGGGTAAAAGAAAACTCTTAACGCTGACCCAATGGTGGCAGCAGTGGAGGGAAGGGAAAGTGAGGGAGCAGACAGGAGGGAGGGAGGGAGACACTCAAGTTGAGAGGAATGAGGTGGGGCTCAACAGAGGGTGGGAATGTAAGAAGGGAAGGTAAGAAATCAAGAACACATGAATAGAGGCAGGAGTTGTAGAGTCACAGAATCATACAGCACAGAAACAGACCCTTCAGTCCAACTTGACCAGGTTTTCCAAACTAAACTAGTCCTAATTGTCTGTATTTGATCCATATTCCGCTAAACCTTGCCTATCCATGTACCAGTCCAAATATTGTTTAATGTTGTAATTGTACCCACCTCTACCACATCCTCTGGCAGTTCGTTCCACATACACACCACTGTATGTGTGAAAAATTTGTCCCTCAGGTCCCTTTTAGATCTTTTTCCTCTCGTTTTAAACCCATGCCCCCTTGTTTTTAACTCCTGTACTCCAGGGAAAAAGACCTTTGCTATTCACTTTATCCGTGCCTTTCATGATTTTATAAATCTCCACAAAGTCATCCTTCAACCTCCTACGCTCCAGGGAATAAAGTCCCAGCCTCTTCTTATAACTCAAATGCTCCAGTCCCAGCAACATCCTAGAAAATCAGTAGACCATTCAGCTTGTTCAGCTATTCCATACTATCCTGGCTGAACTTTACTCTATCCCATCCTCCCCCCTGTCTCTCAGTTCTCTGACACACCAACCCTAAACGTACTCCACAACCAAGTATCCACGAGACTCCAGCGTAGAGAATTCCAAACACACACAACAGGAGAAGCATCTCCACATCTCAGTCGCAAATCTTCCCGAGGCTGTGTCTGCGCTCTCGATGCATCAGAATCCAATACTCTCCTGACAACACACTGGGCAGACCCACACATTAAAGAGGGTGGGGCACAGGTTAAATCCTTTAGATCGGGGGCGGGGGAAATGTCTTCCCTCAGTAGGTGGTTAATGCTTGGAACTCTCTCCCTCAGAGAGCATGGAAGATCTAACATTGAACATACTCAAGGCTGGGACAGGCAGAGAGACCTCTGATCGACAGGGGTATCAAATGTTATGGGGGACAGGCAGGAAAGAGGACCCGAGACAGGCTTTGGACCATCCTTGTTTGTGTTCTATAGCAGAGCAGGTTGAGGAGCCTAATGGCCTATATTCAACATTCTAATTTGTACAATTAACATCAGCAACACTTCCAGTACAATCCCCGTGTCATTCCATTCTCCCAGTGTCCCTGAATCCGCCAGTCTCTGGCCGGAGCGGGACGGTCAGCGAAAGGTGCGGCCGGAGCGGGACGGTCAGTGGGAGGTGGGGCCGGAGCGGAACGGTCAGTGGGAGGTGGGGCCGGAGCGGGACGGTCAGCGGGAGGTGGGGCCGGAGCGGGACGGTCAGTGGGAGGTGGGACTGGAGCGGGATGGTCAGTGGGGGGTGGGGCCGGAGCGGGACGGTCAGCAGGAGGTGGGGCCGGAGCAGGACGGTCAGTGGGGGGTGGGGCCGGAGCGGTCAGCCTGTCACAGATCTCGAGCATGGCAGTACGGGGATAGCGAGACCACGTGTGGAGAGCACCCAGTGTACAGAGACTGCAAGCTATAGAAGGACTGTGATAGTAGGAACTGCAGATGCTGGAGAATCCGAGACAACAAGGTGCAGGGCTGGATGAACACAGCAGGCCAAGCAGCATCATAGGAGCAGAGAGGCTGACGTTTCGGGCCGAGACCCTTCATCAGAAA